ACCCATTTGGCACCCAAACTGCAAGTGACTAACATTATAAAATGTCTCGTTTAGAGGTGAAACAGGTATCAGTCACACATATATTAATGTTAGCGGTGATAAATAAAATAATTCTAATCAAATAACCAGTTACATGGACTTCTGCAAGATAACACCTATTTCAGTAAAAAATATATATATATATATATAAATTATTTTTGTGATAATACTGCGAAAACCTTACAATAAAAATTGCAAAACAATTACATTTTTCCCCAAAATCTACCCTTTTAATAACGATTGTACGCATCGAAAAACAATAAAACGTTTCAATCCTACGTTTCTGTAAAATTTGGTTTAGCGCACAATGCATCATTTCCGCAATACGGCAACGAAAGTGCCGTATCCAAAAAAAAATATAAAATTCCCAGATCCGTTCTGAAAGTATCACTTTTACTATGTTGAATTTTTAAAGAAGCCAGTTGAATGCTTTCATCGCGTCTGAAACTCTTGGCTCGATTTACATAACGCGCGTAATGCATAACTAACTCTCGTTTCCTCCGGCTTGAGTTAGCCTCGTTCCTAAAAGTTTTATTAATGAATCTTTATCCCTGTTCCCGGAAAGTGGACTCACAATGCCGAAATTTATAATTCTTAGTGGACTTTACATAACGTCGGCATAGGTAAGGGTCTAAATAAATCATTTTCTATACGATAAGTATATATATATTTTTTTTCCTTTATATTCTTGTTTTATAATAATTAATTTATTAATTTTTATTATAGTATTTGTAAAAAATTCCTTCAGATATTTTTTACGCACCTTAGAATGGCAAACAAGCTGACGGCCCACCTGATGGAAAGTGGTTACCGTCGCCTATGGACAAAAGCAGTTACCATGGACATAACAGGGTATATTATTTCAGCTATGATACCCCCCTATGCGTTGCCATTCCTGAGGAGTTACGTGTTATTCCTATGTACTTTGTAAATTCACTGCCATGTCCCACCCTTCAAACTAAAACACAGCCATGCAAACACAACTGCTTCACGGTAGAAATACGAATGGGACAGGGATGCCCAAGCAAATGACTTTTGCACAAAGTCTCCCTAACTAAACTACCGAACAAATAAAAATAGCATTGCTATGGGACCATTCTGCAAGTATTTCTGTTCTAATAAAAAAAGAATTTCCCAAATTGATATAGAACTGACGAAGTTATGAGGTAACAAACACGAAAAAATGCAATCGAATTGGATACCTCCTTCTTTTTGGACACGGTTGAAAATGGGTTATAATTTTTTTAATTACATTTTACAGCGCAAAAGAAGCGATTTTAGTGATAATAAAATTAATATTCTTTAGAAATTTTAATATTGTGAAATAGAGACGAAATTCTAAATTGGTGTTCTAAATTGGACGGTGAAATCATTAAAAAATGACTCATGAATGCTTAAGTTTACTTACAATATATTATCTATGTATATAATAAAACTGTCGACTCGAATGTCTGTACGTAGAAAAAAAAAAACACTAAACACCGAGTCAGGGGATTTTTTTTTATACAACTTAGAATGGCAAACAAGCTGACGTCCCACCTGATGGAAAGTGGTAACCGTCGCCTATAGATATGAGCAGTACAGATATGGCGTGAATTTACAGGGTACAGAGGAATAACACCTGAGTCCTCAAGAATGGCAACGCATGGGGCGTATCATGGGCGAAACAGTATACTCTGTTATGTCCATGGTACTGCTCATGTATATAGGCGACGGTTACCACTTTCCATCAGGTGGGCCGTCAGCTTGTATTGCTATTCTAAGTTGTATAAAAAAAATGAAAATAACTGGATTTGCCATAACTGAATTCATTTTTTTTTAGTAACAACCCTCTTTTATTATTATTGGTAGACATAGATAACGTATTAATGACATGATACGGAATTATCATTATCAAATTTAGTAATCATGGTCAGAGCATACCGGAGTCATTGTTTTCGACATATACCTGTATGTTATCATAAACGCCACTAATTGTGGCATTGTCATCATGACAATCCATATTAATCGGTATCACGGATAAAAAATGTTAAATAAACACGACATTTAAACATGATTATTGTCAAAGTTAATCTAATACCATATAAGGATATGAGGTCTAAAGTAAATAATACACTAATAATATTTGAATTTTTTAATAAGGAAAAACAATTAGTTTTAAATTAGATTGAATTTTTATGTGTTTGTTTTCTTTTTATATCACTGTGATGACAAACAAACGTACACATGGTGGTAAGCGGTTACCATAACATATAAACGTCTGGTAACGTGTGTAACTTTGGAAGAACCTCTGCATCTAGATAGCTAATCTCTCTACAAATGCTTCGCCAAAATAGTATTAAAACATACAAGTAGTAGTAAAATTTAATTTAAGAATGAATCCTTGTTAACAGTATTTTTTTCGAAATTTTTTTTTTGGTATCCGTGTGGTGTTATAAATGCCACCAATTATATATATATATATATATATATATATATATATATATATATATATATATATATATATATATATATATATAATTGGCTTTAATACTGCATAGAGTAACTAAACGTAAATAAATTGACAACTCAGTCGTCTATTCGTCAACAGACTTCAAAAAGGAGTTTTAAATGCAACCGTACTTTTTTGTTTTGTTCAATTAGTTAAATTGATTTCGATGATAATAATAATGGTTTAGGGAACATCATCATCATCATCATCTTCCTACTCTTATCCCAATTATTATTTGGGGTCGGCGTAATATGTTTTTATCCTTATTACAAAAAGATTTGGCTTTTAGTTTTACGACCGGCCAGGGAACAATCATCGCAAAATTTACCTATAATAACTAGGTGATATTAGAACTAATTTAATACCTGCTTGGTATTATAAACATTCCAATGATAATATCATTGTCATCATGACAATAACGTTATCGTTGCACGTGAAGCTTTCACTGGTCACGCAATAACATGGAGTTTATCAAAATTAATCTAATCTCTATTCATAAAAGGAGAACCACTGACTGACCCATACTTATGTGTCAACGTACAGCCAAAACTATTGAATCTAGGATCTTGAAAATTTAAAAATAGATACCTGATATAGCATGGGCCAACAATAAGGAATTATGAAATTCAACCCCTAAGGGGGTTGAAAGTTTACATAGAATTTCACCAATTTAAAAGTTAGACACGTGAAGTTTTATATTTGGGGTTATGGTTCTAAACAAAATCCTCTAAAAATCGAATATCTCACGCGAGCAAAGTCGCGGGCAAAAACTATTATTGCATAAGGATGAAAGTTTGTAATATCCCGGTATAGTACAGGCCACCCCTCCCTTCCCCGTAAGTATCGTAGGAGGCGACTAAGGGAACTTAATGATCAAAGTGTGAACAGCAGCGTCTCTCTTAATATATCATCAAAGCCTAACTATAGTTGCTAACTCGTCTGCCAAGCGTAGCAACTACTGGCAAAACCCTCCTGTATGGAGGATACCTATGTTTAGCAGTAAACAGTCATTGGCTGATATACAAATTATTAAATATCAAAATATGTCTGAATATACATATATTGGATATACGATTAGAAAAAATCCCTTATTACTTTATGTAGAGGAAAATATATATTAATTGATGAAAATCATTAAACTATAATTTTTAATCAAAATCAAAAAATAATAAGGAACACATTACAACCGAAAGAATTAATCACAATGTCATATTAAATCCATGATAAAATAATTATATTAGCATCAGTATAGAGATATTTATTGGCGACTAGATATAAAAATACGTTGATATTATTTATCTAAATGATGGCCCATATCAGTTTTAAAGCAGCACAAACCAGGGACGTCCGTGTTCAATTAATTCGTGTAATATAAGAAATGCAACAATAAAATACAGTATACAAGAGACAAGTTACTTATTTTATATATAATTTTCATCAATTATACATTTTAAATTGTAATTATTCTTTCATTAATATATTTACGTTTTTGTGGTGAAGTTGAGAAGAACGATGAAGAAAAAATATGAAATAAATAAAGTACATGTGGTGACTAATGGTGATAGTAAAAAGGAAAAAATGCCAAATGATGAAAGGTACGTATTTTTTTTTAATTATATCCTTTTAATAGTATAATTGTGAAATTACCTAAAGATATTTACGAAGTTCGAATATTTGTTTCATATTTTTTGTTCCACTGGATTTAAATGAAATTTCGCCCACTGAGAGAACATAATCCTAGAGTATAGAATACTTTGTATCTACTCATAGTACAGTTATTATATAGATTCAGTGGATTTAAGACTTGTTTTAACTTACTACGGCAATCTAGTAATCATCATTATTTTCATCATAATCATATCATAGAAAACGGTTTCAAAAAAAATATTTTCCTAAACTAGTCTGTCCGAAAATCGAACCCGGAATCTCACCTATACAATATAATGCATTCACTGCGCTACAGAAAGACAGAAAACGTCATATAACTATCTATCATATAACTAACTATCTATTTATATATTTTACTGAACTAAGTTTTATCTTGCGAAAGTTACATAACACTAAAGTAAATAACACTGGTTATTTGATTGGAATTATTTTGTTTAATTCCACTAACATTTGTATGTAGTAATAGTGGAGTTATTCTTCAAAATTGGCAGTACACATACTAATGGTAGCGGAATTAAACAAAATAATTCTAAACAAATAACCAGTATCTATGTATTGACGTATACATAATATAATAAACAAGATTAGTGTAAATATAATTTTGATATTTTATACATGCAACCATAAATGTATTTATATATTTATATGCAAGTAAATAAAGTAGTAGTTACACAGTCAAATTAAAACCATGATAACATCATAGTACCATGATTATAATATATATCTATATATATTGTAGATATCGGGGACTAGATATAAAAATTCGTTCATATCATTTATCTAAATGATAACTGATATCAGTTTCAAAGCAACACGGACCGGGCACGATCGTATACAATTAAACGGTGTCATATAAAAAATAAAAACAATAAAATATAAAATAAAAAGAAATAAGAATTTAATGAAAAAGAAATCTTGTATCTTGTTTAATAAAATATTTTTTTTAATTGTATTTTTCTTTAAATAATATATTTTTATCTCGTGGTGACACTACAGTACAATGAAGAATAAATATAAAATGAATAGTGTTGATGTAGTGTCCAATGGTGATACTAATAAGAAAACTTCTTCAAATGATAAAAGGTAAGTAAACAAATAAATATAAATTATAATAAATTATATTAATATACAATAATTGTAGAGCCTGGGACCTCGTACATGTGAATTTTGGGAGTGAGACATAAAACATATACACCAGATTTTAAGTTTGCCTTTCAGGAACAGAAGTGTGAAATGTGGTATGTGAGGAACAAAAAGTGAAATATTCGGTTTTGTATGTTTGTTCCTGCTAAAATTATTTCTTTTAGCAGGAACAAACATACAAAAAGAAAAACAAAAATTTGTAAAATTATTATTGTTTTTATTGACTTAGATTTATTATATATATATATATATATATATATATATATATATATATATATATATATATATATATATATATATATACCTATATAAATTTATAAGTATACTAAGTAAGATACTCGTTTTGAGTAAGCAATTGAGTAATATTATTATAAATGTAAATACAAGTTTGTTTGAGTGGCTTTACAAATTATCCTTGATAAATATATATTTATATAATTAAATGAATGATACATATTGATATGAGATTCTTAACAAAAGCAATAGAAGCCAAAATTATGTTGTTTTTAGAATTTTTGGCGGTCTGCTTCTTTATTCATCATTCAAAACCTACTAAGTTGTGTTCCTGAAAGTGGAAATTAAAAATTGGTTTATAATTAATCTTAATATCACAACTAGAAATGATCTATTTCATTGATTTCCTTACATAAGTAGATTTTGGCTACACGTACGAAAGCCTCTCGAATATAAGTTAAAAAAAAAGTAAAATAGTATTTTAATAGTAAAATTAAGATTATTGTTCTTTTATTTGTAATTTTTTATTACTTGTATTTTTAAATGTACGTAAAAGTGTTTGGATAGTTATTAGTTGCCGGGTTATAATGAAATTCTATATACAGACCAATTATATCCAGAACTAATAGAAAATAAGAAAATATATGTCTTTATTTTGATTCATATATGTCTACAAGTTGTATCCCGTCGTTTTCAACTATATTATGCATATATATATTATTTATATATATATATATATATATATATATATATATATATATATATATATATATATATATATATATATATATATATAGATGCATAAATTAAAAATTTAATCAAAAAAATATTTGCTTTGATATTTAAAAAAATAATTTATAAATATTCCAAAATAATTTGCAACTATAGGCCATAAAAAAAAATTACTTCGGCTATGGTATAAATTAAACTAGACTACTGATTCGGTTTTGATAAAACTTCTATGTGAACAGTTTGTAATTTTTCGAATCGGTTTATAACTGACGAAGTTATAACAGGTAACAAGCATAAAAAATACAACCGAATTGAGAACTTTTCGTGACGTCTATACAGACTTGAATGAATCACCCACATGAATCCCTTATTCCTCTTATTCACCAATTTCCTTTACACATTTCCAACGTTCCCTTCCTTTTTTCCTAAATCCTATCCTCCATACCGTAGGTGGCGGAAACCACCAACAAATGCATTCCCAAAGAGGGTTGATGTCAGGCAGGTGGCCGGTCGTAAAACTAAAAACCAAATCTTTTTGTAATATGGATAAAATCATATTACGCCGACCCCAAATGATTGGGATAAGGGTAGGAAGATGATGATACTAGTCTACATAAACATAAGATCGAATTTATCGTTTTAAATAAAAAAAAAAATGTAATAGCACGAGAAAGGTTAATTTTTGTAATAAATATATCGAAAAACAAATATACCATTAAAACACAGAGTTTAATATAACCATTAATCATCATGATACTGTTCATGTCTATAGGCGACGGTTACCACTTTCCATCAGATGGACAGTCAGCTTATTTGGTACATTCTAAATTGCATAAAAAATTTTTACGGCAAAATGATTTAAAATATAACACCTTTCAATCGAAGACATTTTTACTCTCAATTTCCACTAGAAATTAAAACTAATCATTAATACAAAATGCATCATTTAATGATATTTCTGACGCTGATTGTACCCTAAATTTTGATACGCGAATCTTTTGGTACATTACACATTCTAATGCTCGCATGCTTCATTTAATGATTCCTTAACAACCATTCATTGAATCAATTTATTCGCGCGCGCGATTTAATTCAAAACAATCGCAAGAAATATTTTGATCTATGACGCAAATTGATTAATATACACCGAATTTTTTTTTACCAGAATATCATTTATAAATAATCGTCATTATTGTATTAAACGTAATAACTTAATGGTCCTGATGATGAAAATGATAATGAAAATCACAGAAATCGGGGGGAAAGGGATTGTTAGTAATGGAGACTGAAAATCCCATTGCTAGCAATATACCCAACCAGGTCAACCTCCTCGTAGTTCCCCCTGGAAACTATCATGGTTGTCTATCACCCTTCACTGGTGCCCCGCTAGCGTATCCCGTTAGCGCAGGCGGGGCTACCATTCCATTTTCACCTATCAAAAAAAAAATCACAGAATTCTCATTAAATAGTGTTAGCAAGTACACCATTTTCATTAAGTGGGTCACTTTTTTTTAGAGGACAGTTTATTTTTTTAATGGATGATAATGAAATAGTGACCCCGCCTGCGCTATCGATATACACTGGCGGGGCACCAGTGAAGGATGATAAGTGAAGCAGAACAATTAGGCCATCATGACAAATTCACCAATGAATCAATCGCGATGGTTTCCAGGGGGAACCGCGAGGAAGTCGACCTGATAGGGTATACTGCTAGTAATAGGGTTGCGAATCCCCATTACTATCCTATTAATTATCCTTTTCCCCTTCAGATCATTAGATTATTTGATATTTATATGTCACGAAATATATTATGTTGTAATAATAAATGTATTCCATTCGCTAAAATTTAATATATAATAGGTTTAGAGAAAGCATCGCGAAATCCCATATAATATTCCCGATAATTACAAAGGCAATAAAAAAAACACTTACCCAAATAGGTGAAGCCGTTCTATAGTGAGGCGCTTGCATACATTCGGCAATTGGTTTTTATTTATTTTGTATTATAGATTATTACATATTTAGATCGGGTATAGTATCAAATATTTTGAATGATGATATATAGACCTTTTCTATTTATACCATTAAGGTGGTATATATATATATATATATATATATATATATATATATATATATATATATATATATATATATATATATATATATATATATATATTATAAATATTAATTCCTATCTGATACACTCGTGGTATGCCCATGGTATTGCAGGCGTTCATAGGCATAGGCTATGAGAACCGCTTACCATCAGGTGAACCGTAGACTTGTTTGCCACCTCAGTGGTATAATCTAGATATTTTTAATCTGAATCTACTAAATAAAGTTTACTTTGATTATATCTGTACAAAAACTGCAGTCACAACATGTTTGAGACATGTTGTGACTAATTGTGACATATTCTCATCAATCTTATCAATATTTTACTAACTGTTACTACGAAGCAGGTTAGATATACATACATACTTAATAATGTAAAGGTGAATTAATTTTTATTTGTTACAGCACATCTGATGATGGCGATAAAAAACCAGAAGAAGTACCAAGTGTCTCTTTTTTTACTTTGGTAATTATACTTTTGTATACTTTTTGATTTTAATTTTATGCTTTTACCGTGTAGTCTCAGTATAGAATGGACCACCCCTTCTTTACCCCTGGGTCTTATAAGAGGCGGTTAACGAAAATTAATAATCAAGGGATGGACAACAGTGTTCCTCTTAAAATATCACCAAAGCCTAACTGCGGTTGTCATCTCCCCTTTCAAACTTGGCAACTACCAGTAAAACTTTCTAAAGAGAAGGCCTATGTTCAGCAGTAGGCAGACAGCTAATATGATGATGATAATACTTTTTCCTAATAAAACAAAATGCGAATTTAATTAGTTTTAATTAATTTAATATTTCATCATTAAAGTGATTTTCTATAAACAGGAAATATATTAAATTATGTAATAGAAAGAAATATATATTTTTTCACTTTATTGCTAATATTTTTTAAATTTGTTTATTTATATAATAAAATCACTCACAAACAAATTTTATTGTTTCTTACAAAAATAAAATAAAATGTCCATTAAAACCTTAAAAAATGACTACGGCTTTCTAGCAGCATCATATCAGCCTTTAACTGTCTGCTGTTAAACATGAACCTCCTCCATAGGGGAGGGTGTTGCCAGTAGTTGCCATACTTGGCAGGCGGATTAGCAACTGCAGTTAGGCTTTAAAAATGCTTTAAGAAGAATACTGCTGCTCATTCCTCGCCCTCCCTTAGTCGTCTCTTAAAAAACCCACGGAAAAGGAAAGAAGGCCTATTCTATGCTGGGACCACACGGACTTATAACAAATATTAATGTATAATTTCTATTTACAGTTCAGATATGCAACTCAGAAAGATAAAATTTATATTACGGTGGCTTTATTATTTTCTATAGCAAGTGGTTGTTCTATGCCAATCAATACCATTCTTTTTGCATCACTATTAGAAAATATGGTCCTCTATAAATTTTCTATTGATGCTGGTTTTCCTGATGACGATGGCTTTTTATCAGCAATCAAATCTTTTGCTATATGGAATAGTGTTGTTGGAGCATTGGTAGTAATTCTCTCATACTCAGCAACTGTTCTAATGAATAAAGCAGCATACAATCAGGTCAGTGCCATATATTTTATAATTGATTTTAGATTATTCAAATATTTCTATCAATTAACTTAATATTTTTATGTAACAGATATACAAAGTACGGCAGGAATATTTAAAAGCAGCTCTAAACCAAGACTTTGAATATTTCGATACACATAAAACTGGAGATTTTGCATCGAAGATGACCAGGTAAGAAATATTTTTATTAGGACGACATGAATTACTAACATCACAATTACCACAATTCTTTAATTAGAATACTTTACATTAAAGTAAAGTAGACTATAGAAATTTATAATATTCGGAAGTTCGGCCTCTAAAAAAGAGCATTTACGTAGAACAAAAATAAAAGGCCTATGAAATCCCACAACCATTAAAAATTAATTTATAATGAGAAATATAAATCTACTAGTTCTAATATCAAATTGAATTATGTTTGTATTTTTCAGTGACGTAGTAAAACTTGAGGATGGCATAGGGGAGAAATTTGCAACATTCCTTTTTTATCAAGCAGCATTTCTCAGCTCTATTATTATGGCCCTTGTAAAAGGATGGAAACTTGCATTGTTATGTTTAATATCTTTTCCAGTTACATTACTTCTCGTCGGAGTAGCTGGAGTGGTAATATTTTCATCCAAATTCTTGTCTCTGTTTATAGTTTTTCAAAATTGTACATTATCAATCACATTTAAGGTTGCATCTAAATTATCAAAAAAAGAAGCAGTCGCATCTGGTAAAGCTGGTAATATAGCAGAAGAAGTAATATCATCAGTGAGAACAGTATATGCATTTAGTGGACAAGAAAAAGAACTAGATCGATATGGAGATCATATACAAACAGTCAGACAGATTAATATAAAAAAAGGTAAAGAAACGTAGATAGAAATAAATATTTCTAGAGCAATAAAAAATATAACTGTGTCACTAAGTTAAAAACTTGCATTTATTTTAGGACTATTCAACGGATTGGCGATGGGAACTCTATTCTTTTGTATTTTCTGCGCGTACGCTATGTCATTCTGGTTTGGATATAAATTAATAGTTGAAGATGATTATGAAATATCGGACATGATTGCTGTAAGTAAACATGTGCCCAATAAAAAAAAAACAAGACTAATTATCTCGTTTCAAAAAAGAACTAATTTTCATTCAAAGTAATATATCAAAATATATTGTTATAAATTGGAAACACTACATTTTGTCACTAAAAATTGTTGTAATATTTATGATATATTATATACATAAAACTATTATTTATATTTTCTTACGTTAAAATTATTAATTTTATACTATTTAAAAAAGCACACATAAACGATCTGCAAAAATTTGTTGCGAGCATTATATTTCCACAATAATAAAAGTGTAATTTAGTTATTATTATTATTGCAAATAGTTAATTTTTTTTTGCGTGTTTACATGAATAGGTATTCTTTGGAGTTATGATGGGTTCGGCAAACTTTGGAATATCATCGACTTTGATGGAAGTGTTTGGTATGGCTAGTGGCGCCGGCGCGCAAATATTTAATTTAATCGATAATGTACCAACTATCAATCCGTTGTTAAACCAAGGCACTGTACCGAAAACTATCAAAGGAAATATTGAGCTGAATAATGTATTTTTCCATTATCCTTCAAGACCTGATATTCCTGTAAGTATAACTGACAATAATAAGATTTATTTTGCACGACTTGAAATGAATGTAAACATGTAGAGTCCATCTAATGTAAAATAACTGTTATACATAAATGAACAACACTGATGGCAATTCAGACTAAATAGTTATTTTATAATATAATAAAAACAAAGACATAGCAATGCAGGAACAGCTGCTTAACAGCAGAAATACAAACGCAATGACGACGATGATAATGGTGAGAAAAATACTCATGTTAACTTTATAGAAAATCCCTTTTTGGTTCCTGTAAAAACTACTTTAAAAACAACATTAGTAACAATAAAATTAGTATAAATCTTTATACTAGAGCTATAAATATTAGAAGCAGGTCAAAATATGTAATAATTCTTAAATATTTTGTGACAGATATTAAAAGGGGTCAGTTTGACGGTGAAACATGGACAAACGGTTGCCTTAGTCGGCCATTCAGGCTGTGGAAAATCTACAATCATACAGCTTATATCTAGATACTACGATGTAATTGATGGAAATGTAAGTATTGTTGCAAAATAGAAGTTATTGTATACATTTTCTCATAATTTTCCTTTTTATACAAACTTGAGATAGTTTAGGCTCACCTGATGGAAAGCGGTAACCGTCGCTTAAAGACATGAACTGCGCCTACAAATTGATAGTACTTTGACTCCATAATATGTTATTATTATTCGCTTATACTTGATTTTAATATTTAATAATGTAGTAAAGTTATTACTTTAGTTTTAGTACCACGGAAGTAAAGATTAATAATAATAATTTTATAATTGACATGACAAAGTCATTCACAGTCATTAAATTTTACCTATGTATTTTATATTAATTCTTATCGTCAATGACAATTAATGTTACAAAAATATTTAATATTATTTATATAATATATTACCTGTTGTCTTTTCATAACTTGTCATACATAAAGTATGAGTTATCTTTGAATATATTTTAATTAAACGTGCATAGATAATAATAACATAAAAATCGCGACACGAGAATTTTATATATTAGACCTACTGTCTTTTATACATAAATTATGAGTTATCATTATAATTAAATCATTATATTATAATTAAACGTGCATAGATAATAATAACATAGCTACTAACCTTTTATATGGTATTAGTATTATGGTATTAGTCACACTATAAATTATAATATTATGACTTTCATGATCTTCAATTTCTTTATACATACATTAAAAGCAGCAACAATAGATAAACTATTTTCTTATCCATTTAGTGATTAAATCGTAAATTGTTTTATAGTACGTCTTTTATACAATAAATGTTATCAAAAATTGCGATAACAATAATTATAGTACGTAAAAATTTCAAAGATAATGTAATATTTTTAAATCATGCAGATTATTTAAGGGCATTTAGGCTAAAGTTTCCTTGAATATTTATTATATTAAAACATAAAAATATTTAACAGGTTCGCATTGATAACAATGATGTTCGACATCTATCAGTACGTTGGCTTCGCGAGCAAATTGGCTTAGTGGGCCAAGAACCTGTACTATTCAATACTACAATACGCGAAAACATTCGGTACGGTCGCGAGGACGCCACAGACTCTGAAATAGAACAATGCGCAAGACAAGCAAACGCTCACCAGTTTATTATGAAATTACCAAATGTAAGTGCAAATGTAACATGCAAAATCGTCATCTATATTTCAACTATTCATTGTTCAAATACTTAAAATAAATCTTTCTACTTTCATCATCTTATACCTTAATTGATTATTTTGTTTCTGTACTCCATTTGAAATAACTTTTTATGAAAATTTAAACAAACAAATAATTTACTGATATCCAATAATGGCACAAATAAAAAATTTATTAACTGATTGAATCGTTCGAGTTGTTAATAATTTTAGCAAAACTTGGCTGCCTTTCATTAAGTTCTATTGATTTATACCATAACAACAAAACATATAAAAACTTGTACTAATATCTAATACGAGTAGTAGTACAAATCGAAAATGTTTTGACTGTTTCTAATTTCATTTTGAGTGTTTCATTATATTCTTTTAAATATACGAATCTTTTTTTTTATACCACGAACAAAGCAAACAAGCATATAGCCCGTCTGATGATAAACGGTCTTAATCTTCAGTTTTGTTTTTCATACTTTGCCACTTTATGATGTGTAATAAGATTTTTGACCTATAAATCTAGCCAATTTACATGGGAAGTCATAATACCATGTAAGGAAAATCTAAAATTTATAGGGCTACGATACGCTGGTGGGTGAGCGAGGAGCATCTTTATCTGGTGGTCAAAAGCAACGTATTGCCATCGCACGTGCACTGATTCGCAACCCACGTATACTTCTTCTGGACGAAGCCACTAGTGCATTAGATAACGCATCTGAAGCAAAAGTACAGAAAGCACTTGACAAGGTATCGATAATAACAAATATATTTGTAGTAACAAAACTATATTTTATTGGAAAAATAATAACTGAATTAACTTATCTGTGTCTTTTTGTCGAGAATGCTCGAATAGTTACAAGACTATCCGGGACCCTTAATCAGAGACATGCAACTACAATATTACTTTAATGCTATTCGTTATTCTAATCGTCAAATTCCACCATAGCGTAATGTACACGTTTTTTATGTCAACTACATAAGTTCTATTCGTATAATATTTAGTTCGATATTGATAATACTGAGATAATAAATAACGAACATCTCGAAATTTCCAGGTGTTCTTTATTTGATTTCTATGGCGCAGAATTTTTTAATAAGAGGACTAATCCTAAGATTCATGTACTCATCAAAATTTATTAATTTTTAGGCACAAGAAGGACGAACTACTATTGTGGTAGCCCATAGACTTTCCACAATAAGAAATGTCGATGTAATTTATGTTTTTAAAGCCGGAACCGTTGTAGAAGTTGGTAATCACGAGGAGTTAATCAAGAAAAAAGGCCACTATTATGACATGATTATGATGCAATCAGCTCCGGGTGCAGACATTGATAACGGTATGATAACGTACAATATCTAAAACTTGTGTATTAATTTCTATTAATCATTGCCTTGCCTTGATTTTTATCTCATTTAATTCGAAATGTTTGAACTGCCTCTGAAACCAGATGGATCGCTGCAGGTACAATCTATATACAGCAATGTGCAACTTCGAAACCAACAACAAAATCAATGTCTCATCTTTTGAGTTGTGCTCTGATTTCTAACAGTTCCACAGTAGAGTATTTCCTTAGATCTAATGAGAGCGCTATTAGTGTAACGAGAATCTGGGCTAATATTGTAATATCTGACTAACATATATATAGTATTTAATGATGATTAATTTACAGTTGAAAAGCCTAACTTAACTCGTGAACTTTCTGTAAGAAGCAACAAAGATGACGAAGACGAATATGTCGAAGAGAAAATGAATGTGAGTTTTGTCGATGTCAAAATAAAACAAAAGTATCTTTATGATCCCTTTAAATTATATTTTGTAATTAAAGCATTTGTTTAATTTCTCTACAGGAAAAAGATAAAGAAGAACACGTCCCAGACATATCGTTCTGGGAAGTGATTAAACTTAATAAACCCGAATGGAAGTCTGTCACTGCAGCTAGCGTCTGTTCCCTCATGAGCGGTTTTGCTATGCCTGTCCTAGCAATTATACTCGGTGACTTTGTTGGTGTAAGTATATTTTAAATTGTGACTGTATTTAATTATTAATTTAGGATCTTTTAATAGAGTAAGAAGTAAACAACATTCAATGTCATATAGTAACAGTTTTATGGCAATCGTATGCTGATGTTGCTATCAATTTCAAAATTTCTGAAAGAAAAATTCCTATTCAATTCTTATTGTCTCTGTCTCCATATACCGAATAATTTGCGTTTGGGATTACAACAACATCATCCAATATTTAGAAATTCAAGGCATTTTTTAAAATTTGACAGATAATAATGAGACAAGAGGGAGACTTTGTACAAAAGTCGATTGCTTGGGTACCTCTGTCCCATTCGTGTTTCAACCGTGAAGCAGTTGTGTTTGCATGGTTGTGTTTCGGTTTGAAGGGTGGGATATGGCGTGAATTTACTAGGTACAGAAGAATAACACCTGAGTCCTTAGGAATGGCAACGCATGGGGGGTATCATGGGTGAAACAGTATACTCTGTTATGTCCATGGTACTGCTCATGTCTATAGGCGACGGTTACCACTTTCCATCAGGTGGACCGTCAGATTGTTTGCCATTCTAAGTTGTATAAAAAAAAGACAAATCTAGTATTTGAAATACGATTTTAAAAATAAATATTTGGAATAAAAAATTAATTCCTTGTAACAGTGAGGTCTATGAAATTAAAATACATAATAATAATAATGGATATTAACTAATAACTAAAGAATAATATTAACATCGAATTAATATTTTAGGTACTATCAAACGAAAATGAGGATGAGGTTGCCGCTGAAGTTAGAAAATATGCCCTGATATTTGTTGGAGTTGGGGTATTTTCAGGGATCACAAACTTTATAACGGTAACATACCTACAAAACATACCTATAAAACCTACTGTAACATTTAATTATTGTTTTTAATTATTCTACATCATTATTTTACTTTACTTTGATTGAAATAAATAAAAAATATTTTTATTCGAGTAAAAGTCGAGGGATGGGCAGCAACGTCCCTCTTAAAACATCACCAAAAACGTAACTGCGGTTGCCAATCCATCTGCCAAGGATGACAACTACAAGAAAAACCTCCCAATGACAAATACCAGGAGTGAACGGCCGCCAGTCTTTTAGCTCGGGACTATTCCTTATTGTAGAATTTAGGGGAGAGCTATGTTTGACAAAAGACAGTTAGTAACTAATATAATAATGATGGTACTTAATTAAAAGTATTCTGAAATATTCATTTTTTTACAATTCTATCACCCAATCAGAAATACAATTTCAACTGAGAAGAACGAGCAAGAAAATCTGCTGTTGCTCATTTTAAACAAAATTTGAGTTTACATACATTAAAAAAAATTATTGGAAACAATGACTATCTCAAACATCATATTGATAAAAACTGTACAATCAATTCCTGTATAGACTAGTCCCTACAAACAACACCGGTCCACGAGTATAACGACATTAATGAATATACAAATAATAATTTCAGGTATTCTTCTACGGAATAGCGGGAGAACATTTAACGGAACGCCTTCGACGGTTAATGTTTCAAAAATTGTTGCAACAAGAGATCGGTTTCTATGACGATAAAAATAATTCGACAGGAGCTCTTTGCGCTAAGCTATCTGGAGAAGCAGCTGCTGTGCAAGGCGTAAGATTACTGATTTTATAATTAGTTTTATAATTATTAACTTTAAGACTCTTGTGCATTGTTTATGGTTTACAAGAAACGAAAATTAACGCGATCATTTGAGAAACGCGAACACTGAAGCAGAAAGAGTATTCCATTCCTTACAAATATGCAATAGAAACGAAGTGGCGAATTGCTTCGTGCTAATATGCGAAGCTTCCACAACGTAAGTATGATATCCCAGTATTCGACATATAGTTCAATGGTGATAGAAGGGAGATGGCAAGATAAGACTATGTTACTATGTATGCTCTCTAAAGTATACCCTTTAGAATTTCGATAAACTGCCTTTTTGACGTTTTAACTAGCTTATGAGTAAAACTGATGCATGCCAACAGTGAAGAAAATATTTCTGCAGCCAACCGCAGCATATCCCGTCTGTTATAAACTATAGACTTATATACAATATATCAATAATTTTTACATTGTAATATTTAATTAAAGGCAACCGGACAAAGAATTGGTACCGTCTTACAAGCGCTGGGTACCTTTGGATTTGCCTTGGGCTTAGCTCTATTTTACGAATGGCGAGTGGGATTGGTTGCATTTACTTTTGCACCAATTATGGCAGCCATTTTATACAAGGAAGGGAGAATGGTCAGCGCTGAATCTTTTGGAGCGGCTAAAACTATGGAAGCTAGTTCAAAGGTAGTTATACATACATCATCATCTGCTTTGTATATTTATTTAAATATAATATAAATATGATTTTGTTTATATTTATATAAAGTTGTTTTCAATTAAGCATATCTATTTATCTATATTTTTTCATTTATATTTATTCGATATTTTTGATTAGTGCCATATTTGCACCATGATTGACTGGTAGAAAATATCTTTAGGTATTACGTCTACCATGTGTAATAAATGGTTGTTAAGAAACGTAACTATTGTCTTGTCTATTTTTTTATTTTCAGACAATGAAATTCAAAGACTTACAGTTATTTCCTTAAAAACATTATAAAATGTAAATATCTATATTTAGAATCTTTGTAACAACAAAATTTAAGATCTCGCCTATCACAAGATCACCAGATGACTCTAATATCGCAGTTAACTATTTTATATTGTATTCAACAAATGTAATATTAAAAATATTCGTAAATAATTATATTTCCAACAGATTGCTGTAGAAGCAGTATCGAATGTCCGGACGGTGGCGTCGCTTGGTAGAGAGGAGGCGTTCCGACAGGAATACGCTAAACAGCTACAGCCTGCCCTGGCACTTGCAAACCGTTCGACACATTTCCGGGGAATAGTCTTCGGTCTCTCACGAGGCCTTTTCAATTTCGTTTATGCCGCAGCGTTGTACTATGGAGGCACACTAATTATTTATGATGGTGTTGATTACGAACTGATTTTAAAGTAAGTTCAGAATCTTATTAATATTATTATTCGTAACGATGAATGGATGGATGTATCGTCGTATCAGCCTTTAACTGTTCACTGCTGAACATAAGCCTTTTTATTGAGGGGCTTTGCCAGTAGTGGCCATGCTTGGCAAGTGGATTAGCAACCGCAGTTAGGCTTTAGGGATGGTTTAAGAGGGACGTTGCCATCGATCACTCGACCTCCCTTGGTTGCACCTTACGACACCCACGGGAAAGGAAAGTATGATCTATTCTATGCCGGGAATATACTGAAGCACAGTTACAGCGTTGGTAGGATGGATGTTTGTTTGTTACTATTTCACGCAAAAACCGTTGAACGGATTTGAATAATATTTGATACACGGCTAAATTATATCCTAATTTAGCACATAGGACACTATGTTATAAGTCCCGCAAGTGAAGCTGCGGTATACAGCTATTAATTAATAAATGACTTGTACCACAATATTTAAACTAACAGAGTTATGCGGTTGTTCAATACGAACAGAAACATTGTAATATTAAACTATTTCATTATTGTAAAGTCCTTTTTTGTTATTCTTTTGTTTCGTTAAATGTTCTTTTGTTTTTTACACAATACATGCACTTTTATATACGGCTTTTTGTTTTCGATTATTTTATTATTCTGGATCCCATTTCCTGCCAAATTTATTTACAATAAAAACCAGCGATTAGCGAGGATCTGAACTGAGGTAATAAACGTAAAAAAGAAAATAGATACGAATGAATCGAGTTGAAAACATATTTTACACGGTCGCAAACTGTCCTCCCGTCGTCGAAGGAGGCCTACACTAAAGAATTGGTCGATATCTATCTCTTAATATGATGATGATAAATGCAATCATCATCATCATCATATCAGCCCTTAATCGTCCACTTTTTGCTGTACCGTCGTGTCACCGTTTTGGCAGATGGAATGGCAACTGCAGTCAGGCTTTAGAGATATTTTAAGAGGGACGCTGCTGCCCGTCTGTCGCCGTCCCTTAGTCGTCTCCTACGACACCCATGGGAAAGGGTGGCACATTCTATGCCGAGACAATACGGTAAATACAATAATACATGTAAATATATATTCAATAATATATGTTTGGTAAATTTCAGATCTGCCCAAGCCCTGTTGATGGGCGCAGCTACTGCCGCTCAAGCGTTTGCTTTCGCGCCAAATTTCCAAAAAGGACTAAAAGCGGCGGGACGTATTGTTGTTTTACTTAATAGACAATCGAAAATAGCTGATCCTGCACATCCTGTGGGTGGATTTGTAAGTTCATTTTTGTTTTATATTGTATTTTTTTATAATAAATAAATACTAAAACTGAACATTACAAACAGCGCCATCTAGTTCCGAACTAAGCGAAGTTTGTACTATAGGTACTAAACAAGTGATAGAAATACTTTTTGTAAATACAAACGCTTATACACATAAATACAAATGTTTCTATTGTGCGGTAATCGAACCCATGACCATTGGAAAGTAAAGCGGTTTATTAAGCCATTTGACCAACAAGTCGTCTTAATACGAACATTCATTCCATATTTATCGATTCAAATCATTATAGATCCTAGTAAAATTAGATTTCAGAAAATAAAGTAATTAATTAATTAAAAAGTGAAGTTATATGGTATTATATAAAAAAATGCAAACAATACTTAATATTATAAAGTTCAGCAAAAATTTAGAAATTATTAGAATAGAATAACAATAGAATAGAAATATTTTTTTATTTAAATACACTTGTTTACAACCTTGTTTAAATCGTCACTTTTTTATAACTTTACTGCTTAGTTCTTGTTAAATAATTTAAAAAACCTGTAAGTAACAGATATAACATTTTTATAAAAAACTTATTCATTGTTCGAATAACTTTTAAAATTTTAATTATTAAAATATACCTACAACTATAATATTGAATATGATAGTTAAAGATAAAACATTGAGTGCTACTCTATCATCTATCTAAGTGTACTAACTGTATTCCCCGGCTTTGCCCGTAGATGTATCATAATTTTGAATAGCCTATATTCTCGTAACTTTCCTTAAGAAAAGAGCTATCAAATGCAGAAAGAATTAAATTCGACTAATAGCTTCACATATTGGCGTATTCAAACAAACAAGCTGTTCTACTTTATTATATTACACGTAATAATAAACAATATTAAAAGTAAATTAATTAAATAATTATTTTAAAAACATTTCTTTTATTATAATTATAGAAAAAACAAACAAAAATATAAAAAAAAAATAAGTTCTTCCATTTTATTATATTAGTCGAATTAATATGTACATTATTAAAAATAAATAATTAAAATAATTGTTTCAAAAACATTAATTTTATCATAATCATAGACAAAATTATAATGTAATCGTTTTAATTCTATTCCAGAAAGGTACCGGTGAAGCAAGTCTTCAAAGTGTATATTTCAGATACCCAACTAGACCACTGATACAAGTGTTAAATAATATGAATCTTGAAATAGAACAAGGTAAAACTGTAGCTTTGGTCGGATCTAGTGGTTGTGGTAAAAGTACAGTTATCCAACTCCTTGAAAGATATTATGATCCAGACAGTGGTATAGTGGTAAGTGTGAAAAGTACTAAACCTACTTACTTTTAATATTATATGTGAAAGTATGCAAAGACATTTGTCTAAATTTTTAGTTTTAGTGTGATTGACTCTTAAAAGGTTAAAACATTCGATTGTTTGACATACTGATATATCCTACTATATAGTATATATTTTTTGTTTAAAACTTCATGAACTTAATTATTAATATTATCTGTATTAAAATATTATTAATCTTCTTGATGATATTATAATAGCTAAAATAAATAATAAAATTAGACAAAATTAATATGAAACAAAGTATGCAAGTAAACTCTAATAAAATAAAGTAAAAAGAGAAGTAGTAAAGATTTACTAAATCGATTCAGAATATCGATATTAATTATATTATGAGAGATTTTTAAATATAAGAAGAACCAACTTCTTTTTGAAGTCATTTCAAAATTATATGATTTGGTACTTATATACTTGTTTTATGGATTTTTTGAAATAAGTAATAATTTCAGTTTAATTGCTTTTTTATGTACTTAAAATAGCAAACAAGCTGAGGGTCCACCTGATGGAAATTGGTAACCATCATCTATAGACATGGTACTATAGATATAACAACTTTGCTATTCCTGAAACTAAAGTGTTATGCTTTTGTACCCTGTAATTTCATTCACAAACCAAAACATAACCATACATACACAATTGCTTCACGGTAGAAACACAAATAGGATAGAGGTACCAAAGTAGGCAATTTTTGTAGTCTCCTTCTGGTAATTGTAAGTAATCGTGAATATTTTAGGCTCAAGATGGAATACCATTACCAAAACTGCGCCTAACAGATTCAAGGCGGCCAATTGGATTTGTCCAACAAGAGCCCGTACTTTTCGATCGTACCATTGGTGAAAATATAGCCTACGGTGATAATACGAGAAAAGTTAAAATGGATGAAATCATTGCAGCAGCTAAACAAGCGAACATTCACAATTTTATTACGTCACTGCCTTCGGTAAGTTTTTTCTTTTCTTTAATATAGTTTTATAATCCCGTAATAGTTCAATTAAATTTCACCTTAACTTGCTCCTGTGAATCTAGGATCTAAACTTTGACGGTCCAAAACTTTTAATTTTTAAACTCATGTTTCAAAAATTTTTATCATTGTCATTTCAACCCATGTATCGACCACCTACTGAATACAGTTTATTCACATATTTTATCGAAATACAATCTTGCGCCTTTTGCATCCAGCAACTTTTCTATGACACTTCTTCACTCCGTCTTATGGAGCATCGCTTGTCTTTAAAATATTTATAAGCCTATCTGTCGTTACGTTATATGTAATAGAACGTTATATATAATAGGAATTTTGTAAACTTATTTTCTCGGTTCCGATAATTGTTTCTACTTCATCCGGAAGTCTTCTTTAGAGTAAGTACGGTGCTTGTCATCGTAGTGTTTCGTCTCGCACTACGAACCGCAGAAAAAAATTAAAAACAAAGTCGAAACAATTATCGGAAACAATAAACAGAGTAACGTTATAAAACTTATTGCTGCACATATATATAGACATATTTAAAAAAAGAATAGAAAGTTTAAAAATAATATTTATAAATAAATAACCTCTTAAACCATATGCATAAAATTAGTAATACGCCGACTTTGAACCTCATTGGAATTGATTCATTTTTAGGGATATGATACAAACATTGGATCTAAAGGCACACAGCTATCCGGTGGTCAAAAACAGAGGGTCGCTATAGCGAGAGCTCTCATCAGAAGGCCAAAAATGTTACTACTTGACGAGGCGACCAGTGCTCTCGATACAGAGAGTGAAAAGGTACAAGTATTATACCGATACGATACTTTTTTATAATTAAAAACAAATTTAATTCAAAACTAACGAAAAATACATACAAACAAGTACATTCTGCACCTTAAATAAAAAAATTGCAACTACCTCTGCCATGAAAAAACTAATCGTATTTTTTTTTTAATATAGCTACTATCATACAGGATTCTGTGAGAATTCTAATGAGATCCATTTCTGTTCAGACATTTGAAATGGAAATGAAGAAATTCACATGCATATATGAATCCTGAATACATTGCGCTTCATTTTTTGACAATCATATAATAAGTTAAACTGAGAACCTGTTCCTTTTGTAAAATATGTAAAAAGCGATCATATTGATAAACCGCAATCGATTTAAGGATTAATTTAAAGATAAGATTTGAGGATAAAGGATCAATATTCTTTTTAATCGATTGAACCTTTTTAATTGATTGAACCTTTCAAATCGATTGATCTTTTTCAATTCGATTGAACATATTCATACTGATTGAAAAATAAACAATGTTATTACAGGTGGTACAAGAGGCGCTTGATGCTGCAAAAGCAGGACGCACATGCGTTATGATTGCACATAGGCTGAGTACAGTTCGTGATGCAGACGTCATCTGCGTTATCCACGAGGGGCAGGTCGTCGAGAAAGGCAAACACAACGAACTGTTAGAACTAAAAGGAATTTATTATAATTTGAATAAAAAAGGATATAGTTGAATGAACAGTGTGAATATTAAAATAAGAGATTTTAATGTTACATTTAGTAGTATAATAGAATAATTACTTTTAAGTGTAAGTGTGTTTTATAAAATATTAAACATTTTTTTACTTATTTGATCATATTTTAATTTAACAAGTAAACTTATGATGACGACAATATCCATTAGTCTTATATTATATTAATTTATAACGTGCTTGCATTGCCAGTACCTTTACGAGATCTATAGAAGCTTTTATACAAAAATCGTCTGTTTGAATACGTCTGGGACAGACGTATTTCAAACTCCAAGCAACTGTTCTGACATGACTGTATTTGGGCTTGAAAGGTGTTGAAGCAAAACACCATAGCAGTCGGGAATAGCAACGCATAAGAAGTACTGAAGGTGTCACAGTATATTCTGTAAAGTCCATGCCACAGACATAAACACAAGCGTGTGTCTGTGTGTCACTTTTCACGATGACATTGATGGATGATTTTCAACCTCCTTCAAAAATATTTTTTTATTATTCTTTATTGTTCACGCTAGTTATAAGAATATGACAGAGGTAATCAAGATTCCCAATTCATTTGTATTTTTTTTATGTTTATTACCTTATTGTAAGCGATTACCATAGCCTATGAACGCCTGCAATACCAGAGGTATTACGCGCGCGTTGCCGACCCTGAAGAAACCTCTTTACCCCCTTTTGAAGAACCCATGCTGTAGTCTCTTGGGAAAACCTCGGCAGGGAGCTCATTCCATAACCTGATACTTACATATTAGTCTTATAGAAATATTAATAAAACCGGTTAAGATGTTTTTAAATTAAAATATCTATACTTACAGATTGGTCATATAGAAAAATTATCAAAATCGGTTCAGTGGTTTATTTTTCATTAAAATAACTACCTTTGTCGTAATTGAAAACGGTGTTTCTGTGGGTATGTTTGCTTAATATAAATCATACTAAAATTTTAATGTATTTTCTATTTACTGAAACAGTATTCAGTATCTCCACGAAAGCACTTACAATCTTAGGCCGCTCCATAATTGTATTTAGTCAATTAGCATATGAAATTTCATTTTCAGCTTTTCTAATTACCCAGGTTACAGTTTATATATATAGCATTAAGTCCGCCTTTTGTACCAAATATTTTCAACCGACTTTAAAAAAACGAGAAGCTCTTCAATTCGGTTGTATTTTTTATGTTTGTTTCCTCATAACTTCGTCATATATGAATCAAATTATATTTTTTTTTTATTTGAAAAATATACTTTCAGATTGATCCCATTGAAATATCTAAATAATATAAATCATATTTGAAAATTATTATTTTCTATCTGATAAAATATACTTTTAGATTGATCCCAATAAAATATCTAAATAATATAAATCGTATTTGAAGATTATTATTTCTTATCTGATAAAATATGCTTTTAGATTGATCCCAATAAAATATCTAAATAATATAAATCGTATTTGAAGATTATTATTTCTTATCTGATAAAATATGCTTTCATATTGATCCCAATGAAATATCAAAATAATACAAACCATGTTTTAATTTTTTTTTATTTAATAAAATATACTTTCGGATTGATCCCATTGAAATATCAAAATAGTTTCATTAGTTTAATTTTAAACAGAATAACTGATTTTGTTACGACTAATGTCCGTATTTTTTTTTTCTAGAAGAAAATCGTAAATTATTTATGTGGTCAATAAATAAACACACCTAACACCGCGACATTGTACAAACACAAATCAGCTAATAGTGTAACGAATGTTAATATCCAGCCACTAATTGTCAGTCAAAAATGCAAACAAGCTCCCGTTGAGAATGCAAAAACATCGCCTAAAGCACTCCAGTTTTATTAAGTGGCAATACTATTGAGCTCGTTACAATGTGGGTGAGCAAATAACCTGCCCTTAATAAAGGGTTCTACCGCGCCAGCGGCGCACGGTTAACTATTCTATGCATTTATGATTGATTCGATATTGGGATTTCAGCGCGTATTTTGCTGATGTATTGGGGCCTTTAAGAAAATTTCTTCATATGTACTGTACAATACAGATATATAGAGATAGATTTTACTAGAGGGAGACTTTGTACAAAAGTCGTTTGCTTGGGTACCTCTGTCCCATTCGTGTTTCTACCGTGAAGCAGTTGTGTTTACATCGCTATGTTTCGGTTTGAAGGGTGGGATATGGCGTGAATTTACTGGGTACAGAGGGATAACACCTGAGTCCACAGGAATGGCATGGGGGGTATCATGGGCGAAACAGTATACTCTGTTATGTCCATGGTACTGCTCATGTTTATAGGCGACGGTTACCACTTTCCATCAGGTGGACCGTCAGCTTGTTTGCCTAAGTTATAAAAAAAATTAAAAAAAAAATGTACCTTAACTCATATGAAAACAAATTATCTATATATATTATATATTATTGTCACTAAAAGACTGCTTGCCATGATTAATAAAAGTAATTGCTTACCAAAATAAACTACTATTAAAAAAATTACGAAAGTTTTTCCAAAATATTTTTTTTAAAAAACAAGGAGCAAACTAGCATATAGCGCAGCTGATGGTAAGTGACTACCGCCGCCGTACCATTGGCATTGCAGGTATTCTGCTGGCCATTTTAAAAGGAATATGGTCTTTTCTCGAACAATATAACAGTGTTAATAATAACATTTATTTTACAAATAAATAGTGTTATATATATATATATATATATATATATATATATATATATATATATATATATATATATATATATATATATATATATATATACGTATCTAATATCTAACATATTTAACTCAGACTAAGATTCAATTAGTTGAGTTTAACTCAGTAGTAGCTTAGCTTCGCAAATGGGAAGTGGAGGATTTATCGCTAATTGTTATTTGATATGCCATCGTTGTTCCATAATTCTAATTATTAGTCTATAAAGATAGATCTGTATTACCTACAGATCTATTATTTAGAGAAATTGAACAAAATAAACCTAAAGATAAAGTACAAGTAGGTAATTTAGATAACATTACATAGTAAAAAAAATAATATAAACAGGTGAAGAATATAATAATCAAATCTTGATCTCGAATTTTATCATTCTCATCATTTCAGATGATCATCGTCGACAGCGAAATAAAAATTTCTCCATAGAACGCCATGCCAAGCATGGCAAATACTGGCAAAATACTCTAACATATTCTATAGCCTTCATTCAGCAATGAGCAAATCACAGCTAACATGGTATATTATGGTATAAATCAATTTGACAGCATTTTATATCAACATTGATTAATAATATTTAAAATTAAGAAACAGGGGGCCTACCATGAAATGAAATTCAGAATTTTCGGACTCAATTTCGTGTTTTTGTTCGTACCTAAATCGACCCAGTAAATGGAGTTTAACGTTTCATTCATCAAAAATCCTATCCTAATAGTCCAGAGGAACGATATTTTAATATTTTTAGTAATTAAAAAACGGCATGTATAATTTTAACGTCAAATTTCTATTTTGTTCGTCTCCGAAATTTCGGAAAATATTTCATGGTAGGCCCTCAGTTTACCAGAGAGAAACGTACCATTTACCGGTGTTTCTGACGTGAACCAGCTATGCTTGCATGGTTATTTTCCGGTATGAAAGATGGGATATGGCGGTAAAAATATCGGATTTTCATCGTCATATCAGCCGTTACCAACCACTGCTGTACATAGGTTTCCCCTGTTAGGGGGGTTTTGCCAGTAGTTGCCACGCTTGGCAAGCGGGCTGGTAGCCGCAGTTATGCTTTTGGTGATGGTTTAAGAGAGATGCTGCTGACTATCTCTTCCCTTGACTATTAAGTTTTCTTAGTCACTTCTTATGACACCCACAGGAAAGGAACGTACCCGTTCCTTTCCTGTGGGTGTCATAAGATGTGCTACCGCACATCCTACGCTTGAATCACACTACCAGAGGGAGACTTTGTACAAAAGTCGATTGCTTGGGTACCTCTGTTCCATTCGTGTTTCAACCGTGAAGCAGTTGTGTTTGCATGGCTGTGTTTCTGTTTGAAGGGTGGGATATGACGTGAATTTACTGGGTACAGAGGAATAACATCTGAGTAATCAGGAATGGCAACGCATGGGGGGTATCATGGGAGAAACAGTATACTCTGTTATGTCCATGGTACTGCTTATGTCTATAGGCGACGGTTACCACTTTCCATCAGGTGGGCCGTCAGCTTGTTTGCCATTCTAAGTTGTATAAAAAAAAAAAAAATACATAATAGAATAATTACAGGGTACGTCACGAAATTACAGGTTATGGATACATAACACTATAGTCCTCAAAACAATAGCAACTTATGGGCATTACAGTATCCAGTGTCCAGTATCCAGTCAGTCTCAGTATCTAGTGGCATCCATGACGCTGTTGGTTTCTATAGGCGACAGTTACCACTTTCCATCAGGAAGGCCATCAGCTTGTTTGCCATTCTAAGTTACATAAAAAAGTACATTATTAACAAATTTTTATAATTAATTATCTTTTACCCGCGACTTTGTCTGCGTGACCGGGATATATTCACTGACCGAGATATAAAGTAGCCTATAATCTTCTCCACCTCATACAATACGTGTATACCAAATTTCATAGCGATTAATTAAGCCGTTAAGGCGCTTTAAGGTAACAAACAGACTCACTTTCACATTTATAATCATCATCATATCTTTAACTGTCCACTGCTGAACATAAGCCTACCCTTTGGGGGGGCGGGGTTACCAGTAGTTGCTAAGTTTGGCAGGTAGATTGGGAACCGCGGTCAGGCCTTAGAGATATTTTAAGAGGGACGCTGCTGCCCATCCCTCTTCCTCCCTCGATTGCTTGGGTACCTCTGTCCCATTCATGTTTCTACCGTGAAGCAGTTGTGTTTGCATGGCTGTGTTTCAGTTTGAAAGGTGTAAATTCACGCCATATCCCAATATGGCGTGAATTTACAGGTTACAAAGGAATAACACCTGAGTCCTCAGGAATGGCCACGCATGGGGGGTATCATGAGCGAAACAGTACACTCTGTTATGTCCATGGTACTGCCCATGTCTATAGGCGACGGTTACCACT